CCAAGCAGGGAGCCCGATGCGGGACTCAATCCAGTGGACTCCAGGATCATGACCTGAGCCGAAGGCAGTCGCTTAACCGACTGAGCCACCCAGGTGCCCCCGTTCTGTTGTCTTGTCATGGGATCTGGCGGTAGTTGAAGTCAGATCGTCTCTCTGCTCATTCATTCATTCAGTAAATGCGGAGTGAGCACCAGCTGTGCGCTAGCTACTGGGGGATAGAGCAGCGAGTACCACAAAGACTCTGGCCTCAAGTAGCACACCTTTGCCTAGATGAGGGCAGAGGAGACTTTCTATGGAATGTCCAAAGCCCAAAGACCATGGCTCCCAGTAGATGCTTTTCAGATGTTCTTCTCTCTGTTCTTAACACAACCGACATCTTCTTTCCTTCAGAACTCAGCTAAACACCACCTCAGAGAGACCTTCCCTGGCCATCCTATGTGAACCCAAACTCTGCCCCCCCCACCTGCCAAGAGTAATTTCTCCACAAATGCTCGAGCAAGTTCTGTGGTTCTGTGAATTTCATTTCATGATGAACGTTCAGTGGACACATGGCAAAGGAAGTGACAAATGGCAAAATCTCCATCTGCTGATTAAAAAAATAGATGTCCATTTTGGAGGGGCTTATATTCCAATAATGAAGATTTTTTTTTTTTCAAATGCTAGAGAAAGACTCACTGGGAATAACTACAATTAGTAGGGAAACCTTGGTTCTGAATAAAAATGCTATGCCTGAGGGGGTCCTGCTGGATTCACCACAGAAGCTGCCTGGACAGCAGATAGAAGGGTAGCCAAGAACCTGCTTTTCCCAATGGGGCAGAACTGGGTCTGAGTTGCTAGCTGTGAGATCCGGGGCAACTTACGTAACCTGTCTGAGATTCAATTTTCTCTTCCTTAAAATGCAGAGAATAGTATCTACCTTGAACTCTTTTGGGGGTTACAGAATAAAGGAGACAATGCGTGTAAACCCCTTACCTTGGTGCATGGGGCATTGTGGACATGTGACAAATGGCATTTATCTTTATGAAGCACATATAATTAAGAGGACTCACTGATGTCCCTGATGAAGAAGCTGCTGGTGTAGTTTTCATACTTGAGCTTGTGAATGGCACCCACCACGACCTCGATGGGTAGGCTCTCCTCGGCCGCGGGGCAGGTGCTGCCCTCCTGACACCCCACCGTGTACTTCTTATAATCCCTGTTGTCCACTCTGACCCTCTCTGCTGAGAGTGTCACTGCTCCACATGTCACCCCTTGGGGGTCAGAGAAGCTGAAATCAAAGACAGACATTACCTCGTGTCTCACCCATTCGTGGGTCAGTTCCCAGTGGCTGGAGCCAGACAGCCGTTTGAGGACACAATTTCTCCAACGGGTTTGATTTCTCCACAGGGGCCAAGAAGCTGCCCTCCCCAGGAGAACAAGCTTTGCCACAGAGGTGGTACAAATATTTAGAGACAGCTCTGCATGTCCGTGCCTCTGGCCTAAATGAATCCAGAAATGTTTAGATCCAGAGCCCTTGGTTAAATCTCCTTATTAAAATTTTAAATTCATTTTTCCCATTGTAATGACAAAATCCATATGTGCTAATTATAAAAAATTAAAAAGATAAAAATGTGCATAAATGAAATGTGTGTGCCTCTTTTAACCCTAATTTCACTCCCCAAACAGAAATACTATTCAGAGCTTGTCGTATCCCTCCAGACCTTTGTCTATGAATATTCAAAACAATCATATATCCACATGTATATGGATACACACATATTTTGCCTATATATATATACTCACAATGATTTTATTTTTCATTAAATAGGACCCAACTATATATATGTGTGTGTGGTTTATAACCATCTCTTCCCCCTCTGAACATATGGAGAGCGCTCCATGACAGACCACACAGACTGGGTTATCCATTTTGATGGCTGCATGTTAAGCTGGAGGATAAGGTGCTGCACTTTATTTAACTTTTCCCCTGCTGATTACCAAAAACATCACAATGAGCACTGGTATTTGTGTCTCTGTGCATTTGTACAAGCATTCCTTTAGTAAGCATTTTCATTTTCAAGACGGAAAAGGGAGACCCCAGAGGTTAATGTACTCAGTTACATGGTGGCCAGACCAGGCCGATCACCTGGGGTTTGCTCTGTCGCCCTGCCTTGTTCAGGAACCTGGATGGTGAGGGAGGGAAGTCACACAGACCTGCTAACATAGGTTCAGTATCCATGGAAACTGGTTTCTTAGGGGAAGTCCAAGTACATCGGACAAACAACGAACTTCAGATTAGTGGTGTCATCGGCAGAAGGAAAGGGAGTTGAGGTGGCTCTGGGAAAATTTCTAGAAGCCTCAGGATTTTGGAGTTGGCTTCAGGGCTTTCAAGATCTATGCCCCGGAGCTCTTGTTTCTATTTTCATCTCAAGGTAGAATTTTGGCAAGTCATTCGTAGCTTTGATTTCTCCTTTTATCCCTCCCTGTGATGCTATGAGCCTTAATGAAGCATTGCCAGGCAATCTGGATGAGTGGGTTCAAACACAGCAGAGGCTATTCCCAGGCCCCAATAATATCCTGTTCTAACCCACACATTTGTTCAGGCGATTAGCTTAAATCTCCATGTTCTTTCCCCAATTTAGGCAAGAGGGGGCGTTGAAAAAATATAGGTTTGACTTTGTTTTCTCCCTTATCATTAACTGATAGGCCATGGCGAGGTTGCCCTTATTTTCTTAATGAAATAGTTCTAGCAAAATACTGAGAAATCCGACTGGTTTCACTTACCCTCTGCTGCTCTTGACACTGAATTTCAAGTCAGTACTGATTGCCGTCAGCCACCAGCAGGTGAAATGTCCAGAATAATTCTTTGCCTCACATTTTAGAAAGAACTTATTTTTGGATTCTGGATTTGAAAAGAACAAAAATTCAATATTTGCAGGTTTTCTTTCAGATAGATTTTAATTGTGGTGAACCACAGGCCACCACGTCGTACAGGAGTGAAGATCTTCCATTTATTCCCTTGGAAAATGATGTTGCTCCCCTGACAGGCAGTTCAGCGAGGACTGAGAAGGTCTCAATAGGTTGCTGATTCTGCAGACTATACTATGCACCTAACACATCAGGGGGAGGCATTAAATTTTTCAAGGCGGCCGCCCCGTGCTGACTTATGCACTATACACGTTGGTTAATTTCCATTAGCCATTTAAAAAGAACTTCAGGAAAACCAACCATGAAAATCTCTCAACATGAGATCTGGATGGTGCCCAAAGCATCTAAGAAAGCAAAGAAAAACATAGGTGCTGGGTGGTTTCAGTAAGGGATTTGATATCAGTTCCTTAACTACACTAGTCATGTCTTAACCTTTTACATTTTTAAATTTATTTCTTATGGAACAAAAGAGAAAATTGACATCCTCTGAGCGAATGGAATTACCTTTCTGTTCCTTTAAGATATCAGTGGACCAAATTCCATCTTCCTTTTTGTGAATCAGCAGGAGCGAATGGCTCAGAACCTTGCCTCCTTTATGACAGGTATACCGGCCAGCATCTCCAAACTCTTTGACTTGGATGGTCAGAGTTTTACCAGAGCCTAAGACCTCACTGCTCTGGTCCGAGGTCCAGGTGATGTCATCTTCTTCAGGGGTATGGCAGGTGAGGACCACCATTTCTCCGGGTGCGTCCGGGTGCCAATCCAACTCTACGACATAAACTGGAGAGCACAGGGAGTGGAGAACTGGACTGTAAGCTCCAGGAACCCCGGGACTGGGATTTATGAGCCACCTGTGCATCTGCCCTCCTGAGCACAACCTTGCTCGTGACAGCAAATGCTTGCTGAGATGATTGATCTCAGGTCACTGGGCCCTACTTGGGTTTAAGGTCGTGAAGAGATAAACAAAGTTTTATAGCTGCCATCGAGTCATTAACTGGCAGCCTGTTTTTAATAATTGACCTCTGATTCGCTGGCAGATGGGGAAGGCCTTGATACAATAGAAAAATGTGAACAGCACAAAACTCTTTACCAAAGGCCTGGTGGAGAGAAGAACCTTCCAGTACAATTTCAGTTATGTGGAAAATAAGGCAGGGCACAGAGATGTCAAGAAAGACTGACCAGCACTGAGATCTTGTCCCCACTAACTGGCTAGGGGATTTGAAACAAGGTAGTAAATCACCATGAGCCTCAGTTTCCTCGTCTCTAAAATGATAATAATAGCTCTATGTCATAGGTTTGGTTATGAGGATTAAATTTAAAAAAACATATAAAGCACTTAGCATGGTGCTTACCATTGTAAACTCAGTGTTGGTTGTGTTTTTTTTTTTAATTTTTTAGTGTTGGTTATTGTTATTCACTTACCAAAGTTTGGTCCAATGACTGCACAGAGAAACTGCCCTATAATTTTCCATGGGCATTTGAGGATTTAGTTCCTACTGCATAAATTAACTCACCCATGGAGATTTTCATTCAATTTTGTTTAAGCAGTTTTACACTCTTATGAAGCAGTTTAGTAGATCCTGATCTTCCCATTTCATCGAGGAGCATGCCAAAACCAAGAGGCTAAGCAAGCTTACATCAAGTTAGAAGTACAAGACCTAAATTTCAGGCCTTCTGCCTTGTTGGCTTGGCATTGGATCTCTAACCTGAGTATCTAAACTGGCACTTGAGGAATGGCCTAGAAGAGTACTGCAATGAGTGCGTTACATCCCAGCTTCATTCATGCATCACTTACTAACGAACTAGAGTCATTTAATGTAATGGTTCCCCAAGCCTGATCACTGAATCACCATCAGCAGCAACACCTAGGAAACTGCGGGAAAAGCAAAATCTGAGTTGTTGAATCAGGAACTTTGGGATGGGCCCAATGATCTGGTTTATATGCTCTCCAGATGATTCTGATGCCCTCTCAAGTTTGAGAGCCACACTGGTTAAAAGCCTGGATATTGGAGTCACATAGGTCTGAGTTTAGATTCAGCTCTATATCTTACACTTGCCTGTGGCCTTAGGCAAGACATTCAATTACTCTAAGCTTCGGTGTCATCATTTTTAAAATGAACAAAATATTAGTGCTTGCTTCAGCAGGTTGAGACATGGATGATACAAGCGAATTCATACAACAGCTTAACATAGTGCCCTAAATGCTCTATAAATGGTGACCCTTATTGTTGGCATCCAGATGTAAAGCACTATGGGACATAAAGTTCTTACATCAGAGGGATTTATAACTACTGAATGGGTAACAAAGACGTGAGCTAAAAAAGCATTTGGGACCCAACTCTTTGGAAATGATTCGCTATGCTGACATAAAACCACGTGGCTCCTTTGGCTTTCTCTAGTTTTTCTTTGTTCCATCAGCAACTGAACAGCAAGGCTATTTTTCCTGTCACAACTAAGACTCAGAAGGCCTAGAAGACCCTTACCCAAGGGCAGGGGACAACAACTGCAAGAGGGAGCCTGAGGAAGAGCATCCAGAACCTAGTGCCTGGCTTCATCTCCTCATCTTGCATCCAAAGTTGTCTGCCCTCTGTTTCTCACATTGACTTCCTGGAATTTCGGTGGTTTACCAAATTAGAAGTAACTTCGGGGTTTACTATGCAAGGGCCAAGCTTCCTGAGCTCACCAAAAATCCCAGGGTTGGAAGGGATCTGTCATAATTATCTGGCTCAGGCCTTCGCCTTTGCTCAAGGGAGGGTCTAAAACTCTCAAACTCTCCTTGGGCAGAGGGGAGATGGCTGGATTGTTGAGCCCAAGTCAATGTGAGTCTAAATCCTATGCTTCCCCCAAAGTGCTTGGTCAGAGGTGAGTCCTCTCTGTGCTCAGAGGCAGTGATACTGTGCGGTGGAGGGGGGGATGAGAGAACGTAGTTCTTAATCTTTCCAAATCCTTCACTTTGGAATTTTCATTGTATGATACAGCTGGTTTTAGTAATACTTGTGAAGTCCATATAGCCTTTCCTATCACATCCCGCAAAAAGCTCCTACTCTGGCCCCTAATATGAAAGCCAAACGACATAGGTGAAGGAAGTACAGATGACCTGCCTTTTCCCAGTGATGGCACTCACTAGGAACCCCCCAAGGCCTGGTTGCCCCTTTCGGGCTGATTTCCCCCCAGGGCCTGCCTGATAAGTCCTGGCTTAGATTTCGGGGCCGCCACAGAGAAGGAGAGCCTGGTTACCATTTTTCTCCAGTTCCCATATGGCCATGAGGGGAGATGCCAGCAAAACCAGGGAAAACCAGGAGACGACCAGCTGCTGAGGATGCATCTGCAGGAGGCGGAGAAAGAGAGGAGAAGAAGGAGGAAAAGAGAAGAGGAGGGAAAAGAGAAGAGATGATGTCAGTAATTATTCAGTTGCTTTGCAAACCATATTCATGCTATGTACATTGTTTTTAATCTTGATTTTTCTCTTTCTTGTCTGCACTATCAGATTAATACTACGTGAATTACGGGAGCCCTGAGCCAGTCTCTGGGTAAGAACATCTCCAAAGAGAGAACCACAGACTATCTGGAGCTGAAGGAGACCAGCCCTCTGATAGAATCCTCTTATTTTTAAGCTGAGAAACCCAGGACTCAGAGAAAGAACATGGCTTGTCTGGATCAACATTCAGCAGTGATATACTTGGTACTTACTAGGTATAGGGCTCTGGGCTAGAGTCACTGGGAGTTAAAAAAAGGATTTGGGCCTGGATTCTGCCTTCTAGGGGCAAACACTTTCATTCAACAAATATTTATGAAGTCCGTGTGTTAAGTGCCTACCCTCCAGTTGGAGAGACGAGCTAGCTATACCTCGTGTCACTGTACCCAAGGTGGTATGTCCAGTGACACCTGGGGTAAAGGGCTTGGGGTGGTGCTGGGGTGGGGGATAAGCAAAGGCGATCTTCCAAATTATGGCAACGATCTGGTAGCCAGGTTGAGTTTCTCTCCGTGTTTAGACGATAATTGCTCAAAACTCAAAGGTTACTTGTTCCTACACAACGAAACCAGTGATTCTCAAACTTGAGCGCACATCAGTGTAACCTGGAAGCCTTGTTAAAACACAGATGGCCGAGTCTGGGGGTGGTGGGAGGTGGGGCCTCAGAATCTGCACTTCTTAGAAGTTTCCAGGTGAAGCTGATGTTGCTGGTCCAAGGACCACACTTTGAGAACCTTTGGTTTCACCCATGTTCGGGGCCCACAGCTCTGAAAATCAAGATGTTCTGTGGGAGAAGACCACGAAATACTGATATACCCACTATGAAAAGTGAAATGCCTCATTTTGTGCCCAATCAGCCACCATCTTATAGTAAAACTCAATCTAGATTAGTGTCCAGGGTTTGTGCAAATATTTAGAATGTGAAAATTGTACCCTACTTCTGAATTAGATAGAGAAGATTATTATTTAATTTCATTCTGAAACACCTCCATCCATCTCAGAGAGCACCAGCATTCTCTGAGCAGGAACATGTGCTCAGAGACCACTGAGTAAATCATACGAAGAATAAGACTCAAAATTTTTGGTCAATACCTTAAAAATGAGCATCCCTTGGCTGGGGTGACTGAATATTGACAAATCACGGCTTTGTTAGGACCACTGCTAACCTAGGAGAACCTTGCCCCACACTTTACTCCCTTAGATTACAAAGGCTGTGAGTGGCAGAGACAGGACTAGATCTGGCCTTGCTGTCGAGTCAGCGCTCTGTCCCTGCCGCTTCCACAGGCACGTCTATTAATTTGTCCAGGTTACGACTGTGGCAAAAGACTGGTTGCCACAGGGCATCAGTTAGGACATTCACAGGCTCAGAGAGTCAGGCCGACGTGGGCTTGAACCTGGTTCCTCCACTCGCTAGCTGTGTGATGTTGCTCAAATGATCTCTGAGCCTCAGTCTCCTCATCTATAAAATGGACGTGATACCCATCTCAGAGGGTTGTTGAGACAATGCAGTGAGATGACATCTTGTAGAAGGCAAACAATAACAGGTCAGCTTGCACCAAGGGGAAGAGATAAAGAAAAATTTGATAACGTTTGTTTTGTATACAAGGCTAGACCAAAAAGTGCCAAGCTGTAGGGAAATGCCCTAGAGGTATTGCAATCACACAGGCTTGTAGAGCCCAGCTGCCGGCACTGTGGGAAGGGAAATAACAGAGATTCCTGGCATCTCCTGGTGATTCTTTTGCTCTATCCTAAGGCTGGGGTTTTCCCTTTGCCTCTGTGTCTAGCACTTCCTCCTGGGGCCTTAGATGTGTTTGAGAATTTCAGGTGACCTGCACTTCAGGGTCAAGGGAGCCCTGGTGACGATTCTTTTTTTTTTTTTT